ACTAAGTTGTGTTATTTCACGTGAAATATTTTGAACTGTGCCGCAGTCAAGTGACTGGTATTAGCCATTCTGGGACCCGGGCGAGCTGACCTGAACTATACAGGATTTAGCCAGCTGCCAATCCGTTCATAAAGGCTCACACACGATTTTAATTCCGTTAGTTCTATATCAGGGATGCTCGGCATTCAATGGGAATTTCTTCAGTGAAATTGGATTGGGGTGCGTAAAGAGAATCTCTAAATAAATGGGGTGTGGGTGGCTGAAAGAATGTCCTTTTATTTCCTTTTTTATTTATTGAATATATATATATACAGTCGAAATTCAGGACAGCGGGCCGCGGTCTTACAAAGGCTGCCTGGGAAGACGAGCGGTGGTCGAGCGGTTCGAATCCGGAACACCCAGGTCTCAAGGTGATGACCTAATCACTTGGTCACCACCCTAGTCGAAGAAGAAAACAGATCGATAATATGTGACAGTGCTGGAAAAAGTTGATGTCTCCGTTTAGCTGAACTCAATCAGTATAGAATTGTTGAAAGGGGAAGATTTTGAGATGTTAAAATAAAACATCGGAAACACCTATTGTGCGTGTGTGCGTTCAGAGTGGAATTCGAGGCTGTCGAAAAGCTTTGCATTCTGCAAAGTTAGCGAAAACGAGCATATCAGCACTGTATGCCTGCTACGTTCGTGTTTTTAAATCACTGGATGTATAAACCTATAGGTTGTCATCAGCCAACTCTTGGGAAACGAGCAATTTTACCATGTCTAATTCGAATCGGAGACATGCGACAAGTTTCCGAACAGCGAACGAACGTTACACTTGAACAGTCTCAATAAGCCCATGTTAGGTATGTGTATGATTTTTTGACATAAATCAACAATCCTTCTAATTGGGTGTTTATTCCTGTCTCGGCAAAATTAACTGAGAATTATTATTTTACCTTCGCCAAGAACAGGAATTCACCAAAATTACAAACATCTGACTTAACTGAATGTGCTTTTAAATGAGATGATCATAACACGAAGCTATATTTCATGTTAAGCATTACTTTTTTATGTACGATGTACCTCATTATATTACCTAGTAGGTACGATATATAGATACCATTTGTGCGCCAAATGTGATATGACAGTGATCCGACCGTAGACAAAGGTCAAAATAAAAAAATCGGACGTTTTCCATCAGAGAACTGTTCGTTCCGAATAAGTTCATCGGATGTTGATCTCACCTTCAAGGTGGTAAACACGAATAAAATGAGAAAGTGACCTCGGTATTGTGAGGGGGGGGGGCATTATGCACGCATGAATTATCGACGCAGTTACACTAAGGCTGCAAATTCAATCAACCTAATTTCCCGTACACTTTACTTTTAAGCGCGTAGCTCCCAGTTGAGGATAGATCAACTTTTTGGATTTCACTGATGATGACAGTGTACGCATGGCAATCAACTGCAAGCTTAGTGCAATGGGTTGCCCAGTTGTGGGTCCAGTTGCGAGTACCATATATGGTTTGGAAGATCAAGTTTCTTGACATCCGCCTTGATCGTATTACTCCGGGGTTTCAGTTGATCTCCTAGTTGTCATCCTCCGCAGTGTACAGAGGCTAGAATCTGACACCAGACTTGAGTGGCATTCCTTCGGAGCACGTGGTCAAACCGCTGAAGCCACCGGCTTTGTAGCCTTTGGGAAAGCTTGCCAATATTCATGCGGCGTCATAGAACCTCATCATTGAAAACCCGATTCACATATTTCCATCTTTGAAAATTGAGTGTTTATGATAAAACATTCCACGGTATCTTTTATATTCACTAGAACTGATATTTCGTCTTGTGATATATGACAATAGTATGGAACGATGATACCAGTGCGCTTTCGTGCTATTGTCTGTCCCACTCAGCGTGCCAACTGATCGATGCCGGGGTTCGAGTGATCATCAGTCTGACCGGATGCGGAGCGGCCATGTATACTGCTCAGGTGACCAGTAAACATCATGTTGTTCATTTGGTTATCCCGTTCCCCGTGTGTCAACAACTACCTCCGGAAGGAGAGATGCTCACTTTGTGGTTTCAGCCGGATCCAAAAGCGATTACACAACTTTTGTTTCAGATTGCTTCCATGGAACACGCATCAAACACACTACTCTTGAACAACGGGGAAAGTGGTAAGTTAACACGTTGCGGTCAGTTCGGTCTGCATGGTGATCAGAAACGTATACCTCCCCCCGCCTCGCTCGCCTCTCTGTTCAGTCGCTAAGTTCCAAGGGGAACAGTCCATTGCGAGGATAGTTATATAAATAGTCAGAAATGGAATAGGACTTTAGTCAATGAAACTGTAAGCTAGGTTATTCGATTTGGCATACATAAATATGTAACCTGTTCATTTCTTAACTGATGGTCAACATATATTGTCCTACTCGTATTTCGGAGATTAACACTGTAGCGACCATACAAACAGGTAGACCGTATGGGTTAAGCGATATACAAGTAAGAGGAGTTCTGATGTGTCCAGAATACATCAGTTGCAATGGCGACGTTTTTAGTACTGAATGGCACAAGTTAAGTTTCAAAAACTCAAGCACAATCACATTAAAATGCCGAATTCATGGCTAAGTACGAATGGCACGCTTCCTTCCTTTTTCTGGATGCCAAACCAGTGAACGAGAGAGAAAACAGATTTCTCGCCAGATTTTTATATCTCACAGGTTTCACGGAAAAGTATCCTAACTTTAGAAGGTTTTGCCCAATATAGCACAAACGATCGCTGGTATATGGCTTGTTCTGTAGAATCAGGAGCATCTGTTCCAGTCAAAAATTAGAGTTGAATCTTTTTTCAAATACATTTGTACTGCGCAAAAATGGACACTAAAGGGAGTTAATTGCGATATATGGACAGTGTTCGGATAAAAAGGAAAGATGGGACAATGTTAAGACGGAGCACAGAAAACCCGTCAGGTTACGCATCGAGCCACGTCACACCACAATCGCGTTCGCAACGCCCAAAGGCGAATCGATTCCAAACTGGATGATTAGGACAAATCAGACAGCTGTTGTTCGACCGATCACTCGAGGTGTCAAGGAAGCGATCTGATTGCCCAAAGAATCAGCCATCCGTGACTAACTTCAAACCCGTGAAAAGCCCCACCAGTAAACCTTCCTCTGCATTTTGGTTGTGGCGAATGGCATTTTGCACGTCTTCGTCCATTCAAAAAGCACATCTGTTAAAAGTGCGACAAACGGGGTCACAAAGGGAGAGTGCTGATGATCAACCAGACACGCCCAAATCATTCAGAAGACAGCGGTTCACAGAAAATCGAACAAACAATTCTCAGAAGCATGTTCATTCGTTGGGGCTTTTCAAACAGATTGCCAGCCACAGAGAAAATTCCTCACTGTGCTCATCAGTAGTAAACCAGTGAAACTGCGGTGGAACACAGCCTCAGCTATCACTCTCATCTCCAAAGCCAAATGGAACCACAATGGGAAACCAAAGTTATTTCATCTGCCAAAAAAGCGAAAAGTGCGTCAGAAAGTGAGCTGAGACTGACGGGTGAAATCAACTGTGACATTTCATTCCAAGGCATTACCGATGGATCTAACCTTAATCTCCTCGGTCTTGATTGGATTGAAAAAGTCGGACTATTTGATGTCCCCATGAAGGAAATGTCATCAAGTCCAGAGGCAGAACAAGTCTTCATCCTCGAGTGAACACCCCCCCCCCGCCTTTTCG